AGAGAAAACTCTGGTTTTTAAGAAAATGTCTGCTTATTAATTAACTGTTAGTCTATAAGATAAATCTACTTCAGATTAATTTATTAATCAATAACTTGCATCCCTAATTTATACAGGAATTAAATGAATTTATATCTACTCATATTTATGTAATTAAGTGTTTTAATGATTTGGCCGATTAATTGATTAATTGAAAAAATAATCAACAGATTAATCGATTATTAAAATAATCGTTAGTTGCAGCCCTAATAAAAATGTCCCACCAAAACTTTTGCAACAAGCCCAGAAAATAGCAAAGTACAAAATGATGTGAAATTATTAGTCTCAGCAAACCTAAACCAATAAACATGTTTCACTCAACACTTTATGAATATTTGTTTTACACCAAATATATTCATTATAAATTTAACTTGTAGGTTGTGAATACCTGCTTCTTGATGACATGCTCGTCTTCTCCCTCTGCTTTCAGACGCTCAACCTTGTCTTCCTGCTTCTTGGCCTCAGTTTTGTATGCGACCTCCTCCTTGGCCAGCCTGAAGGGAGACGAGAAGAGAGGAAAAGACGTGGTTAAAGCCAGTGACACAGTGCTGTTTCTGCAAACACAACTGGAGAGCCTCACAGAGACACAATGCAGCCTGAGCTGGGCTGTGATGGTCACTTTCTAAACACAAGCCCATCCATCTTCATACGTTCTGTACGACTCCACTGACTGAAGGGTCACAGTGAGATCATCTCCCACAGGATGGGAAAATACACACCTCAACAACAACCACCAAACAACATCCTCTCCTTACAATCAGTCTATCGTTTCAACTGGGATGGAGGAGAAACTTCAGATCGCAGCACAATAATGGTTTTATCATACATACAATGTTTGGCTCTGGATACTGACCTTTTTTAACTCATTTGTTTTGTAACAGAACCAAATAAATATCTGTTTAGTTTTGTTAATTTACCTGCCATTGATGAGCCAATTAAGTATCTATTTAAAGTGTTCAGGCTTAACCAATCCAGCTTGACCTAAAACATACACTGGGTTATATTTTCTATCATTAAACAATTCATTCTTACTTTGCTTAATATCACCTGCCACCAATGGTTTTACCCATGTCTGTGTCTTTGCACCATAAACAAAGTATTCTATGAACTGCTGGGCAGATAACATAAATGATTATACAGCAGTGAATTATTACAGAACCTGAGTTAAAATGTGGTGTAGTATTACCCGAGTCATTCACAGTACATACTTTAACGCAGGGCTATTCAACTGGTGGCCCGCAGGTGACTTCCTTTGAATTGTTTTTTTTTTTTTACTTAATTGAATAAAAAAATAGATTTCAAATCATTTATAAAAGTAAAATTTATAATTTATGATTCAATGCAACAACAAAAAAACAAATTTAAAAGGTATAAGATAATACTTGTTCTGTTACATACTAGGGCTGAGTGTTGGCAAAAATTTGGTGATACGATACATATCATGACAGAGGGGTCACAATACGATATATCGCGATTTATTGTGATACTGTAAGCAAAGCAATATATTGTGATTTTTTGTCCAAAAATTCTATTAAATAAAAATCTCTTACTGGGAAAAAAATGAAAAACCAAAATTCATTGTCTCATAAAATTCTAATATTACATAGACATGCTTTTGATACATTTAGCTGTGTTCTGCTTTGTATG